TGCATTATAAATTTGCACTCTTATATTTATTAGATTAATCCATTACATTTCTAAAAGTAATGTTTTTTTCTCTTAGGACTGATGATGTTGTCAAAAAACTTCTTTCGTTGGAGTTAGCAAGTAATGTAAGTTCTTACATCTTACCAGATAGTTTTTTCCCTCCAGTTATTTTCACCAATAACACTGGCATGCCACTTTCATAAAGTAGTCATTAACAGGTATTTTAATACTCTCTGTTCATGTCCACAGAGTGAAAAGCTGCAGCTGAAAAAGGAACAACTGATTGCAAAAGTCCAAAGGGATGAGAATGACCGCAGCTCCATGGAAGTCCAGGGTGGGTTGCTACTTCTCACCACTGTACAAAGTATTATAACTGAAACATAAAGATGGAATATAGCCTGTTTTAGTTGTATGTCGATTCACTCCCCTTTTGCTGTTTCTTTTATTCAGTGGCTATTTTGACAGCAAGAATCCGAAACTATCAGGAGCACGTGCAAAAACATCACAAGGTGAGTGAAGGGGTGGAAAACAAGGTGCTAAGTAGGGAAACTTCTGTAGACAGTTTAGAACAAAACTTGATGTAACGTGTATTAGGTCAGTTAACTTGAACCACAAGAACTTCATCATCTCCACATTTCCTCCCTGTCTTCCTCTCATGTGAAGCATGCAAGAGCTACAGGATATCCTGTGTACTCCCCCACATTAAACAAGAACATGCGTAGCACAGTCAGGGTCAGAAATTTCCATGTTACATCATACATTGAACATTTCTGTTGAAATTGACATAGGAATCAAAGTTGTAACGTCTGGACTGGTTAGCTGTTAGATTTGTCATGAAGTGTCTCCTCATAAGCAGATTAGTGCAATACCTGGACAATATTTTGTATCTGCATTTGCTCCATTTGGGCCTGTATGAGTCACATTTGGAGTTCAGCCCCAATCTGTCTTATTTCAATCCAGGACAAAGCTAACAAGAGGCGCATGCTCATGGCTATTGACCGAAGGAAAAAGCTTCTGAAACACCTTAGATTGCTTCACTATGATGCCTTTGAGAAAGTGTGTGAGCAGCTAGGCATCACCTACACCTTCCCCCCAGAGTACTACAGACGGGCCACTCGCCGCTGGCTGGCCAAGAAAGCCTTCTGCATTAAGGTAGCAAACAAATTACCCCAGTATTCTGTTTACATCTGTAAACGTATATGTATGAAAATGTTTGTTTTTCATACTAATAACTGTACTAATTAGACATTATCTGAAGACCATATGCCCTGTATGAGAGTTTCAGTCCACACCAGTGAAAGAGAAGTGCACTTAGTGCTCACAGCATTACTCAAGCATAGTGCAGGCATCTGACTATCATGTTGAAGTCTCCTGACACTTGGTCATGTGTCTCTTCACAGGTCTTCAAAGAAGTGCAGAAGCAGAAAGCAGAGCAGAGGCTGAGGCAAAGTTTAGCCTCCACAGAGATGGAGGCAGCCAAGAGAGAAACTGCTAAGACTGAATGAAAGACAGTAATACTGTATAATATAGCAGATTCTAATTGATTGTCTTGACCAGTGTCTTTACTTCTAAACCTTTAGATGGGGTTAATGAGGCATGTGGATAAACTCTCTTACCATTCCACCATATTTGCTTTTGCTTTTAGGCTGATATCAGAATTGTCTGAAAATGTTTGAGTTAAATGGAATAAAGTGACCCAGAAAGCATTGTTTAAATTAACTTTGGAGATGTATTTGTCCTTGAATACTTTACTGTCAGTTAAATGCATGATTCAAGATGCCACCGATCTTGCTTGTGCAAGATAGTTGTTGAAGTAAGGAACTCAAAGAATAATTAGAAAAACCTTTGTAGCAATCATATTGTACAATAAGATGTTCTTAAAGCTATTTAGCATAATGTGAACTTTTGCACATGACCTACAAAAAAAGCTAAAACAGCGAGCGTCTTATTGTACAATATGATTCCATATTGTGACTGCGGTTCAGTGGGTAGAGTGGGTTGGAGGTTCAAAACACGGTGCCTGCAGTCCACATGTCGAAGTGTCCTTGGGCAAGACACTGAATCCCCAAGTTGCCGATGGTTAGAGCCATTGGTGTGAGTTGGCGCCGCAGGTGGCTGCCTCGGTTTTGTACCGCAAACAAATTCCTTGTGCATAACATACGTGGCCAAATAAAGGTGATTATCCTTATAGCTCTCACCTTTTCTGGCCATTGTTTGATGAGCTTTAGGTCAAGCGTCTGAGGAGAAAACAGGAGGAGAGGAGAAATAATACCTGTACAATATGACAAATTAACTACTAAATCCCTGTAATAAATAAGAAGCTTATAATGTTATGTTTTTGCTGACAGCCAGGAGGTGGTCATTTTGGGGGCTATATGCTGCATTCTATTGCAATGTGTGTCTCACTTTGTTAAAGTACTAAAGGGATCTTACTTGATTGTGGACCAGTACATCACTACAAACTGCAGTATGACCCCAGAAATAGCCATTGCTTTGGAGAACAAAACGATGAACAAATGTTTATTGGATTATAACAGGGGCACTCATGATTAACTCAGTGGGTTAAGCTATGAAAAAATAAATGTTTGCAGCTGCATATAGTTTAGTGCTGTTTCATATCTCAAGTAAATCACCCCCCTCCCCCTTTTTTTTTTCTTCACACTGCAGTTGTGACAGGTTGATGAAAACCTCAAGCTGAGTGACAAATAAATGTGACGCATTTGTGAGTCTTAAATGAAAGCGTGGTCTGAAAGATTCTGACAACTGCGTGAGTTCTCTGAACAGTGACACGAGATTGGGACACCATTTAAACCCAATCGCCTTATCTGGTGCCAGATAACTAGCTGTTTGAGATTATGCCAATTGACAGCCTCACAGCAAAGCAGCAGTTCTCACAGTGAATCACCACATCATCCCCAGAAACAGCAGTTTGTTGGCAAACCAGCATTTCGCAGCTCAAGCTTGTCACAACTTCCTGTGTGGTGTTCTTTTTCTCACTTTGATCAGGAGGAGTGCAGACTGACACACTCTTCTGGTAAGTGACACCTCGTTTTCCTCTTGCTGATGATTAACTTTAAATGTAACTTTTAAATTGGTTTAAATGATAATGCTCATAATCCATGTTTCATGTCCATGTCTTCATAATCATTTTATTTCCCTTTGTATGTAATTACTTATATGCTGTACATGTTTCATAGTATTGTCATTCATACTTTACTATGGTGATATTTTTCATTTCACAACATTTTTATATACAAGTGTTGTGATATAAAACTGTCCTAAATGACTATAGGCAAACATTTCCTAGGGGAAAAATGGACATTCTTTATATATTTAAACAATTTTCAAGTTAAGTCTTTTAAGTTTGATACACAATAGAATATTTTCCTAGGAATATTTGTGGATAGGATGCTGAGTTATTGCACAGTGATGTGCTGAAAAGGATTTTGTGAAAATACAGCTATAGTTCTAATTTACAAGCAAAATAATTTTATTTAGTTGCTTTGTAAATCACAAAAACTCTCAACATTACATGCTTTGTAGGGGAGTTTGGGTGTTGATTTAGCTGTAGACTATGACTAAAATATAAATTAATATAACATAAATTCTGTTTAAGGTTATTCTATGTGAGAGAATTCTTGAATGGCTTCACTTATACCTCTGGGTTTTTCTATGGAAAGCTAATTTATAGGATTTTCTACACTGGAATTAATAGTGTCATTTATAAGTAAACATGACTAAATGTGAAAAAGAAATTGTGGAACATGGAAAGTTTGAGCTCATTTCTCCTTCAGCTTTCCCCTTGCAACAAACTGTACTTTTGCTATATTCAATGCAATTGAAACTGCTGAAACAATGCAATTTCCCAGATTGGGATTAATAAAGTATTTTTATCTATCTATCTATCTATCTATCTATTCCAGTGCTAATAGCTCAATATGTTCTTAACTAGGCAGCTAAACCAAAAACAGGTGGGATCCAGTAATCCAAAATGTCAAACCCAGTGATCACCAGTCAACCAGGTGCAGGCGGTTATGGGACAAATGTCCAAACAGGAGTTTGGAGCACTGGCTTGTGCTCCTGCTGCAGTGACATGTTAATCTGTGAGTACAGTTCACATTTTGGTCCTAAAGACACTTTAATATTTGTTTTTCCAGAGTTACATGTGGTTTTCTCTTAAAAAAAAATAACAAAGAAATATGTCCACTTTTATTGTCCAGGTGCTCTTGGCTGCTTCTGTCCAATTGCACTGAGCTGCTACACGGCAAATAAATATGGAGAAAACTGTTGCTTGGGATGTGTGCCAGGAGGTTTGACAGCCATGAGGACTCATATGAGACTGACCTATGGTATTCAGGTATGTCACTCATATAAAAATGTTACTGTATATATTCCAAGCTTTTTCTCATGTTTTGGGTGGTGATCTAACTCTCATGAAGGAAGACAAACTAGTTGTTTTTAGTAACTTGGCTGCCAAATATCATGAACTTAGGAAATGTTGGGTGTTCCCTGCAATTGGGAAACCTACAGTGCAACATATTTCCTCATAGAAAGTTGATGTTCCATGTTGTTGTTTTTTTTTTTTTGCAATATTTTAACCACAGGGAACAATATGCAACGATGCCTTGATGACCTTTTTCTGTGGACTTTGTGAAGTGTGCAGGATGGCAAGAGAAATCCGCATCAGGAATGGTGAAACTTCACCTTAACCCATTCTTTACAGTATTTTCTTCTTGATGATGATGTCCATCTATTGTGATTATTAATCAGTTTTTCCTGTAGCTTTCATGCAGACAGCAAATATAAAGAAACATGCAGTTCTCTGTATTAAATGTAATTTTATTTGTGGTCTTATACTGTATGCATTAGTGTAATAGTGTGACACTGTTAGTACTAATCTGCATTACTGTAAATAAATGACACTGTTCCGTCACATATAGCAATTAACTGCAATTAAGCATGGCCCATTTTGTATTACATTGTCAATAAAAATCTGATTGTTTAGTTATGTCCTTTTTAATGTAGGAATTATATAACACGATGATCCACATACACAGAATATATGAATTTTTTTAGTCAATATTTATTTGGCTTGTGGCTTCTAAATATAAGTGTACGTCAGACCCTTATGTGGCCTTAGTGTGGAGCAGAAACAAAAATTGATTTTTTTCCATCTTGAAATGTGTCCAGTATTTAATGGGAACAAAAGGAAAAATCTGATGAATACATACATTGTATGCTGGGAACCACTAATCTAAACTAAATGGTAGACAATGCATCTCAGACTGTTTACCCACCTCTCTCAGAGTAACGGCTCTGACTTCCCTCCGTACGTCCTACGTCATGTACAGCGCTCTGATTGGCTCTTTTCTTCGTGGCCTGGCAACCAGAAGAGGCTTTACCAAACACACAGATCCTCTATCAGCAAGCATTCGAGCTAGCTACAAAAGCTAGCTTCTGTTATTTTCCGGAGAGATTTAACCATCCAAATACCGCCATGTCTTCAAGGACTCTGCCGTTGCTTTTCATCAATCTCGGCGGTGAAATGCTGTACATCCTGGCCCAGCGGCTTCGAGCTCAGAATACTCCTGCTGACAAAGCTAAGAAAGGTAGCTAGTTTTAGCAGGTATCCAGCTAACAACACAAATGTCATCCTGCAGTGAAATATTAACGTAAAAATGCAGTAGCTGCATTAGAGGACCGTCAGTTTGTCAGTTTACTGGGTTGTGCATTGGCAGATTTAGGTGATCGGAGAAAGTTAATATATAGACAGGTCAATTGGTTGTTTTTTATCCACATATTTGGACAAAATCATAACTCGGACAACAGTTTCTGTTGCATGGCACATTGTAATTTATAGTAACACTAACTCAGAACAAATTTCAGTTTTTAACATTAATTCCCACTGGCTTATTTTCCGTAATTGGGAAACTGCTCATTCTATGATCCCAAGCCTTACCTCCAGAGAATGATATTAGATGACGTTTACAGTATATGCAAAACGTTTTGGCACTAAAATTAAAGCGAGGAATAATGTTTTTCCATCCTTTGCCTTTAAAAATAGGTACACTTGCTTACAGTTTTACATACTTGGTAGGTAGGTTGGTTCATGTATCTTGGAGAAGTTGCCACATTTCTTTTGCAGGGCACTGCTGGAGCCATACCATCTGCTGCAGGAGTTTTGTGTTCTACTTTTGGCAGAAGATACTTCTTTCTAACTCTGGCTCAGTGCCTGGGGTTGTTGTCATGCTGCTGAATTAATTTGGGACCAATCAGACACTTCCCTGATGATATGCATGATAGATAGTCTAAACATCTAAAGTTCCTAAAATGTTTGTGCAGTATATGTATATAGAATTTCAATATACATTCAGATTTAGCAAGTAACATTGGTGAGGTACAGAGCTGTCATTCAACACCCTGGCTTTCAGAACATCATTGCATGTATTTATCTTCTTTTAATTCACAAAGTTTCCACAATACCTGGCTGGATAGAGGAGGACAGAAAGAGAGGTATTATTACAAAAATTCACTGTAATTATGCACTTGTGCATTAGTAGCTCTCTGCACTGCTTTGGCCTAGACTGAACCAGCACGCTGGATAAGCAATAGGACATGATAAATAAACAACAGCGAGACCTCATATGCACACACAACCTCACAAAAATGCACTATGGTTGTCTCTGCACCCAGGTACATCCTGTTAGTGGCTGAGACACTTAAATGCTCAGTTCCTGGCCACATTGGTTTTTAGGGACTTCATAAAGCCACAATAACAAGAGCTGTTTCTACAAATTACTGTATGTTAATCAAATTAAAGAGCATTCCAAGCTACCAAGCAGGCTGCAATGCCATATGTGACATTCACTAAATGTCTAAAAATGTGTCAGAAAACAAGTGAATTACTCTTGTTTTTCTGCATATATCAAGAAGCTCATATGGGGTCACCACACTGTCGCTCTCTGCTCTGAGAACAATGTTTTGTTTTTCACAGCTCCTATTTTTAGCTAAATTTTGGCTTCCTTGTGGGTCAGTAGCACAAGAAAAATTACTGCGTGGGCTTGTTTATGTGCCTCACCCATGAGCCAATAAAAAGCTAATGAAATTTTTTTATAAAAACATGACATTAGCTAAAAGGTTTCACCTCTGACAGTCTCAGTAGCGTTGGGATCATTTCTGTCAATTGCAAGAGTAAATTGACAGAAAGGCTCATAGCAAATGAAAGTTCTTCTGCAGGGAGTTCAAATGCTAAGATGTTCCTACCTGGCTGCAGGTCTGCTGACAAGTAGGATCAATGCTGATGGCTTTCCCACGCTGCTGCTTTGTTAAGACCATAGGACTGGGCTTTGGATGAAATATTTTTAGCCATCATATAGCATAGAATGCCTGCTTCTGTGTCTACAATATAGAAAGCATATTTGTCTAATCTCAACTAACTCTTTTGGACTTTTCTATTGTACTGTTTGCCTAACTAGTTATGAATGACATCATCACAACTATGTTCAACAAAAAGTTTCTGGAAGAGCTTTTTAAGCCACAGGAGCTTTACTCCAAGAAGGCCCTGCGGACTGTGTTTGACAGGCTGGCCCACGCATCCATAATGAGACTCAATCAAGCTAGCATGGACAAGGTAAAGTGGTCATGTATACACATGTAGTCCCACAGCTGTACGCTGTGTTGTAAGCTTTTGAATTTTTCTGTTCAGCACACAAACTTTAATCACACAATCGCATTCTGTCATCTACAGCACGATGATCCAAGTTTGTTTACACATTAGAGTTGTACTTTAAAATCAAGCATGGTTCAGATTTTCTGTAGATACTGTAGCTATGTGACGAGCTTATTGCCTTCAGGTATACAGTTAAAGAGTAATTCTGTTACATATGTTGCTGTCTATGGCTCCCTCTGCTGTTTATTATACAACAGCAGCATGAATTTTATATTGATGGATGAGTCTATAAAGCCATGCACCTGTTCCTCTTTACAGCTCTATGACTTGATGACCATGGCTTTCAAGTACCAGGTGCTTCTATGTCCACGGCCTAAGGACATCCTCCTAGTGTCCTTCAATCACATGGATGCAATCAAGGACTTTGTGAAAGACACTCCCAACATTCTCAGCCAGGTTGATGAGACATACCAACAGCTCGTAGAGGTACAACATATGTGACATCACTGTTGTCCCATTTTTTGTGTGCTTGTTTTTGGACAGGAATGAGTAGCAGCATGAATCATTGGTGCTTCCTGCAGTGTGCTGCAACATGATTGATTTGGCTATAAGTGAACTAGATCAAATGTTAGAAGAGGTAGAATGCAAAAAGGTTCCTAAACTTGTCTAACTTTACAAAGAAGAGCCGATGTACCTGAGTCAAATTCCTCGTGTGTCCAACACACCTGGCCAATAAACTGATTCTGATTCTGAAGAGATGGAAGCAACATTAGATGTAAAAATAGTAACATGTTTATTAGGGTTTAGCCATGCATATGAACTGTCTTTATACTCACAAAGCTGGTGATACATTGCGAGTCATTGCTATCCCTTAGGCAGGAGTGAAGAAACTGCCATGTAATGCAACTTGTGTAGCCAAGAAGTGGGAACGTCAAAGTTAGAAGTGTCAGATGTGCATGACAAAAAATAGTATGAAGGTCCACATATCAGACCAGGCAAAATAAGCAAGACACAGAAAACCATCCAGTCCAACTGCAAACAGGATACCAGGGCTTCAGTAGAAGCTATTAGAATGAGCATTTTCAGTGGCAGTGACTTACTTGTCCTAATAGGAGAAATTGTGTTTCATGTGAATATACAGCTGCTAGTACTTGTGGGGGATGGGGTGGGATGTTCCATCTGCTTTTGCTGATTCCTTTATTATGTAGGTAGGTAATGCCAGTCATACAATGTAAGGTCATAATTTTAAACCATTATAATCATATACTGTATATGAACTAAGACAGACATGTTGAGTCAAGTGTTACAAGCAGCAGACATTGTATTGCTTGTAATGAAGTTAAATCAGTTAATGCTTAACACCAACAAAGAAAAAATACATTACATGTACTGTATATACATTCTAATAATCTCTATTTTTATATTAAAATAGTTCCATTTCATTACTTTCTACATGGTGATGTTTTTTTCAGTACAACTGTAGTTATGGAAGATACAGTAAACCACATTTTGTAGCAATGCCTGTAAGCTGAGTTCCTAAAAATATAAATATAAATAAATAGAAGCAATTTAACAGAGTGTGCAGTCATTACTACATGTTCATTTTGCAGTTGCTGGCACACCAGCTCTGAAGTACTCTCTGTGTGAAAAGCTCTTTTTCTCCTTTTCACCATCTTAGTTATTTTTAATTCTTGCTTTTATTTATACTTTTCAGATGTATACACCATTGTCTAGTGGTGAATTCCAGCTCATTAGACAAACTCTTCTCATATTCTTCCAGGACATGCATATAAGGGTAAGTCCATGAGTCTTAATATTTATCGTATAGAATAATAATTAGAGAATATTTCTTTTTTGATAGTGTTTTATTTTCTGCTCAAGCCTTTTCCTGTATGTCCTTTTCTGTGCTAGGTGTCTATTTTCCTAAAGGACAAAGTGCAGAACTCCAATGGCCGCTTTGTCCTTCCCACCTGTGGTCCTGTGCCTCATGGAACACAAGTCCCTGGATTGATACGGTACAGTACCACAGTATACTGGTCTTACCCTACACACCCAAATAATCATCACTCCAAAGAGTAATGGCAGTAACTAAGTGTGAGATTAAACAAATGGACAGTAAAATTCATCTTTGGTTTTTCTAATGATCTTTAATATTTACCCTTTACCCTTTCATACAGACTGTTTACTGATTGTACTCAGGCACAATAATCTCATGTTAAGTAGGCCTTTCTGTAGCTAATTGCATTACAGATGTTTTGTTGAACAAGGAATTGCATTCTAATTTTAGATGCATCATATTTTTAGTTTGTACAAATTTACTTAGGGTTTGTAAGTGCACACTGAAACATTTAATACACAGAGGAGACAAGCTCACACAGAGAATATCAGAGCCTCAGTAGTAGGTACTGTAATACCCCAGTTCTTTAATTGGACAGCTCTGAATAACGAAGGAGCCTTCCTTCTTCATTTAGTGCTGATTTATTTTAACCACAAGTAAAAATTACAAACACGACCCGGGTTGTTCCCCCTTCCAGAGACACACACACAGGCTGCTGGAAAGTGGGGTCCCTGGCCACACAGAGCCTAATACATTTATAAGATTTGGGCTAACCCCTTACCCAGATGAAGTCAGTCTGAAGAGTCCATCTCTTATCTAGAGCTCCACAGTCTTTGATCAGCAGCATTTTTACCTAGTCATAACAAATGAAGAATTTCAATGTGTGTGTATGTTGTCACATGGTGTGTAGCTAAGGCATTCATTCATTTATTCAGACATAATATTCTAACACAAGATTAATACAAGAAAAGAATTTGTGCCATGGTTCACTTTTCAGAATCAACATTCTGTCCGCTAACCTTGAAACAAAACAGACTAGAGCAGACTTTAAATCTTACTAAACTGCATTACTAACACATTAATGTCTAACAATTATATATATATAACTGATTTACTAATATCTAACAGTACTAAAAGTGAGTTTCATTTAAGGAAACTACTTTCATGACTGGCGACAGAAATTTTCAAGAATTTGTTGTGTATGGAAAAGGCATTGAAAAGCTTTTTTGCCCATAATAATTTTGTGTTTTTGCATCTGGTAATGCCAGGCTGTTTAGCTGTACTGGTGAGGAGGTGACCAGGCTGCAGTTCAATAATGGAGGGAACTACACTGCTGCTCTCCGGGAAGGCTCTTTTGAGACATTTGGAGACAGGGTCACCAAACTAGGCACAAACATGTAAGACTTGATGCAATGCATTGGGCTAATGATCCTTTGTCATCCAGGCCATGAGATATTTAGAGGCTTGCTAGTGTAGTCTTGACAATGCATCACCAGTCACTACTTAAGGTTTGTTGTCATTTTATGCCTGTATTTAGCCAGCTTTTAAGAGATGACAGGAAATAGAGAGTTGTAGTAGTGAGTCCTAAAGCCCAGAACTGAGTGAGCATGTTGCACTTGCACTTCTCTCACCCTGAAGTCAATGTTTTTTCAAAGGGGTTTTTGGTTAGATGCCTGAAATAAGGTCTGTGGTTAATACAAGACCAGTACATTTTCACATTTAGCTTTATGACAAAAAATATGTCAGTAAATATCCCCTTGTGATTTTTTTTATGCCTGTACATGTCGTAAAAGATTTTGTAGAAGAGGTAGTTGCACTAATTCAGTTTACAAGCTGGAAGCTGTGGCAGTGATGTTGAAGTCAGAGGACCATGGTTTAGTTTGTTTAAAGCCCAACAATCGCTTTTTACTTCTGGTAACTGTATTTGGGTTTCAAAAATCATAATAGTTGTGTTGATTTTGAAGATTATATTTCTGAACAAAACATGTAAGTGTCATAATAATCCTATTGGCTTTTTGTCAAGGGAACCCTGATGATGCTAACGTCTGGGTTGGCCTACAAAAATACATCATCCCTACAACACACTATGAGGAGAGAGAGAGAGAGAGAGATGTGGCATCTAATCAAAGATCCCTGGCCGCATGTGATCCAGATTATGGTTGATAGCCTCACCATAACCCCTATGCCACCACCACACCCTGGGTTTGATGATTTCTGCTGACTGTTGGGGTGTCCAAAGCATTTAAGATGTGGTTTTATAGCACATACTTTCACATGATAGGATAGGAGCAATTTACTGAGGTTTAAATGCCTGGGACTCCCAACCCCTCTGTGGAACTGATGAAGCCTCTTGGCTGAGTAGCAGTTGTAGACTAAACCAGCTAGCCCATTAGCCCTCGACTTGGCTTCTAATTTATGCGATGATATCTTACAAACATGCAGTATGTATAAATTAAGCATTTGTACTATTTTTGCAGGCCATCTTTGACACTGTGTTGCATGAGCATCTTGTCACGCTTTTTTTCCATGTTTTCATTCAGGTACAGTGTAAGTCGTCCAGTGGAAACTCACATGTCAGGAACATCTAAAAATTCTGCTCAGCATACTAAGGTGAAACTGCTTCACTGTGAGCACTGCAAACATATATAGTCTGTTCACACACAAAATTCAGTGTTTAAGATTGATTCTCTGTACAATGTCAACTGTATGAGGCATGCACTGGAATGTGATCAAGTCTCCCAGGTCAAGAACCATACTCTGCTTTCTCATGCATCATCATCATCAGAAGCAGAATCTTGTAAACAACAAGTTTAGCACAAATGTGAAGTTAACAATCCACTGTGTGTCAACAGATCAATACTGCCCCAAACCCTCTGGCCAAAGAAGAGCTGAATCTATTGGCCAAGTTAATGGGAGGGTTAGAAATTCAGAAACTAGGAAACGCAGACAGTGGCTTTCGAGTCAACCTCTTTGCCACAGATGAGGAAGAAGAGTGAGTCCCTTATTTGTGTGTTTTTGTCTGTGTGGTGTATGGAACTTGATCAAATGTTACCTTTCCTGTGTAAAAAAAAATGTTGCAATTGCTAAGCATAGCTGGCATGTATGATGGTGGGGCTTAAAATATTTTAGCTGCAAAAAGAAGAAGAAGAACAAGCAGCTTTATTTTATTGTAACATTGAGACACGTACAACGACATTTTGTTTGGAGCCGACGGCCCCGGGCCGCTGCGTGCATATGCGCCGCCATCATGGGCAACTTGGGGGTTCAGTGTCTTTCCCAAAAATACTTCGACATGTGGACTGCAGGCACCGAGATTTGAACCTTCAACCTTCCACTTGGTAGACGATTGCTCTACCCACCGCATCACTGTCACGCCCCCAAAAAGGGGGGCCCAGCAGAAAAAGTTTGAGAACCACTGATATAACTTCTTTTAATTACTCAAGACTAATATTGTGACTTATAATCACAGAGAGGCGTTAATAACAAGGCCAGATGAGCTTTCGTATGGAGTCATAAACATCCAAGCAACAAAGGTAAAGCTTAGCTATCTGAACTTGTAAACCGTTTCTTTCAGTAGGAAAGAATTGGATGTCCAGTGTTTGTGTACTGAAACTCAGATTTTTACTGCACATTTAGTGACAGTAAGTCTGATGATACATCTGTCATTTAAGGGCACGTGCAGACTATTTTGAGCATTTCAGAATTGTTATGTCCCTGCCACAAGACATTTTGCTTTGGAACACAACTGATCTCAGACTAGGTGTATTGATTACAAGATTACTCTGCTTGGACAAGTGTCAAGATTTATGTGATTGACCATCAGCAAAAACATTGAAGAAATTATTTGCCATAAATGACTGAGTTAGCATATGATGGAGGACCACTCCATCTTATGTCTACACAATCCGCAGCACCCTAGTCCCCATTTTTGTCTTTTACCCTTAATAAGCAACTTCAGTGCTTGGACTCAGGGCCAAATGTTTCATAGCTCAGTGATGGACCATAGGTATACCTACAAACACTGGTCAGAGATGTGAAGCTTTCCCAGTGTTTAATGAGGTTTTAGTCCCTGTGATGACCATTCCAACACTGATTGGTTGATAACATTGTCTTCCAGGACCAACAGGCCAATGCTGAGCTGGCCAAGATTATGGGAGAGTTCACAGAGTCTGGAGATCAATCTCCCAGCGCCAGCAGCAAAGGCGATGACCTCCTAGCCATGATGGACGGTCTGTGAATCAGTTATTCTGACAGAAATGCCCAGGGGATGGGGCACAATGCATTGTCCACAGTCTGCTCTACTGTAGACCAGTGTGCTGTCTGTACCTGCAAATATCCTGCAGCAACCTCACATGCAGCCAGAAAACCTTCTTCTTTGGGTGCTTCTAAAATACAGACGTGAGCAGGCGTTTGCATCAGTTGTTAAATGACCAACTGCAAATGCGCATAGTTAATAAATAATGTGTGGTGAGCCAAGCTTCAAGCTGTAATACACTGTAATAGTGTGTTTGCTATAAACTGAGAGGAGATTCAGTGCATCAAGATATACAGTAGGCCCTGTCAGTGTGATGAACATGTGTCTGTGGTAATAGCAAGACATCTGTTTGTGCAATGTCAAGATATTGCATTTTCCGTATCTGACTAGGACTGCACTGATGTACGCAAAATCACATTCCTTTAATTTCACATGAGATGATTTGTGTTAAATGTCAGAAATGCATCATAATTTTTATTGTTTTTGAGCTTATAGTGAGTATTTATGTTTGTTACATGGTTTGAAGAGGGAGTTTGTTAACTTCTTCTGTAATCTAATTAACAGGTTATTAAATCATACTGTGGGGAATCAAAGGAAACCCAAGTGCTCTTTCTATTCCCTTATAGTGTATCTTTATTTTGTAAGAAATGTTTATCTGACCTCACACTGTACTACCTTAAAATAGGATGAGGGGCAACCCGTAAGACTTTGGGATAAAACACAGAAATGTGCTCATTGATGAGTGTTTTATTATACAATACAGAAACATGCAATATATGTAACATTCTCATATATAAATGTTTATTGCAAACTTTATTTGTTGAACAAGAACATGTGTATCATGTTCTGTGTATAGGGAAGTGTAAATTACTGCATTTGTCAAATTGTTGAATGTGCAATGTAGGATTTTTAATAAATAGTGGAATAACATAAAAATGTATGTTTTTGTACATAAATATGAACTGGATGATCGGTTTGGATACTGATGCAACAGAGCGTTAATGGAATGAACCTTGTAACCAGTTGTTGTAGTTGAAAACTAACGGTAGGGGGGGCCGTTAACCTTTCTAAACATGTAGACTATTGCATGTGATCTGTCTAAACTACCATGCATGCTACAGTGCATTTTATTCTGCAGTCACACTGTCTTTGTTGAAAGTGCACCAAAAGGTTGGTAAGTGTACTAAAAATTACAAGTTCTTCTTTTGTTTTTTTTTTCCCCCTCCAATTTACCATTCCTGTCAGTGTAGGATTCAATGAAATGTATTGTCATTGATTATTTATTCATAAAATTAGCAAATCAGGACATTATAAGTAATGTCTGAATATCATGCACAATGGACTTCCCTCTTCCAGCACAGACCTACAGTGAGAACTGCTATAGCAACAGCTACCTGTAACATGATGTTTGTATGCACTCTGCCTACAGATAAGTCAAAATGAGATTGTGATAGTGTGCACTCCACCAGCCAACCACACACACACACACACACACACACACAAACATGGTGCATACCATGCAGGCAAAACATGCTGAGACATTTGTCTGAAATGATCTGAGGGAGGAGGATTCTGGTGAAATCTGAATAATCTTGGCAAAGAACAGACAAGAAACACTATAAGCACCGAGGCTACAGTCTACCAGTAAAACAAACTGAAACCAGAGTTCACACGAGTCATCCAGTAAGACTAAAAGCAACTGAGCTAACAAGATAACTTCTTACCATAAAGATTTATAAAGTTGTTTATGTAATTTGTTACCTGGATGATAAAATATAAAGGAAAATAATCACTTATTCTAAAGAGGTTTCCCTTTTGATGTTTAAAAAGTGCTGGACTTTCCTTGCTTGATCGATTAGAGCCACAAGTAATATTACAAATAATAATAGTAATAATAATAAAAACAAATGTGCATTTACAGACAAGAACTTCTTTAATGTGCAGTCAACCTACGTTTTCCTAAATATGCTAAAAGAGCCTCTAAAACATTTCTCAAAGAACATGCATTTTGAGTTATGATTCAGTTTCCTCTTTAAAGGCTGTGGGCAGAACACTGTAAAGCCACAGGCTGACAACACACACATAAAATATATTGTGGCGATCCACATCAGCCATTGGGGGGTCTGGTGGCAGCTGCATGATGTAGAGGTGCATCATGGGAGTTCAGTAAATAGTAGAGAGAGCAGTTATAAAATTATAGTTAAAGTGTTCTTATGTGTTACCCCATTGTTGTTATGTGTTAGTGTTGCTGACTTATGCTGGTGTGTTATCTGACGATGTTTTACTAAGTTAATTGCTGTGCTGTGTTTTGGACCTTCAGTTTGGCTTGTATGTGTGAGACTGACCCTGGGGGAAGTGCCATTGTTCAGCGGTTTTAAATAAATGGCAAAAAAGCAGTGTTGTATTGTGATTATTGTAAAAAAAAAAAAAAAACACCCCAGGTGATATCCAGAGTCGTGCGGTGTATTGGTCCTGAAATAATCGCTAACCAAGATCAGCATAGGTGCTAGCGCCCAGCTAGCTAGTTTAGCTGTATCAGTGTAGCTAGTCTCTCTCCTCCACGCCAGGGGTCATTTCAGTATGTTGTGCTGAGTCAAGGCAGGAAGACTAGTGCAACTCAAATAACCCTCTGCCATTTGATTGTCTTTTCTGTGTCTGCCACATCTACCCACTGGTTTGAAACTGGTAGCTGTGGGTGGAAGTTAAGTTGATTCAGGGTGTCTAAATTGGGAACATAGGTGGGCTTTTCCAAATGTCACTTTTTTCAAAGCATTACTGACTGAACTTTGTGGTAAGCTACAGTTTCTCTGGGTCATATGGTTAACCTGAATAAAGTGCAATGTGTATTTAATTAAAATCACAGTGTCAAGCCTTATATGAAGCAGAAATTTTATCTAACAGTGAAAGATCTGTATGTACAGTTATGGTCAGATACAAAACCCTTAACTGTAGAAACTGATAGGTTTCTCACAGGGAGGAAAGGCTTGTAGGTGAGATTCAAGACAACTCAATTCATGGTTTATGCAAATTATATTATGGCCTATAGCTTTTAGTAAATTTTTCTTTATGATTATTTTAAAAGCTTGCATTTTAGGAACTTCTTGCAGCTGATTTTATTTTAGGATTTTAGGACTTTTTGTCTGTTTGTTTTTAGCTTGTACTACAATGTTATAAGTGTGAAGTAATTTTCTTTCCTGGCAGACTGCTGTTATTATAATTCCTTAGGCAAAGCAAGATTTATTTATACAGCACATTTCATACACAGAGGGAATTCAAAGTAGTTTAGCAGATGACTAGATAAGTCCAGTAAATGTATCAAACTTTTCCAGTACCTTCAAAGATGATGTAATATGTTTCATTTTGCAACTTTTGTTATACAAAAATTTCATCATCGGTGTGCAACCATTTACTAATAAAAAATAGGCACGTGTGGTCATTGGTCGGTCGCCGCTGTCAATCAAGTGAGTTTGTGCGTCATTTCCGTTGTCAGGTGGCGCTGTCGCTGTGGAAAGATGCGATCAGCGATGAGCGGAGGCTTTTCCTTAATTGCTCATTTCGGTAACAGAGGCTAAACAACCCAAAACCAACCTTCTGTTGTCTCTTCTCTGTAAGCGAAAAGCTACTTGTATCCACAACAGCTTTTACCCAAGAAATGTCCATGTTGTAAGGAGACAGCGCAGACTTTACCCGGCGGTTTTGGCTCGAGGTAAGCGAGGTGGTGACTTCGTTGCTATCTAGCTTTCTGACACGGCTAGCCAGCTGTAATGTTACTCACTTTGTTTAAATGGCCTCCCGGCTGCTCTGTAGCCTCCAGCGTGGTGATAGATAACGTCGCTCGCCAGCAATCATATTTAAACCTTTCTGGTACGCAAGGATGCAGGTTAAAGTGGTAGTAACCTAGCTAACGGCCTCTTTGTGTAGTTTGCATCGAAAACCCAACTCTTTCTTGTGTTGTGTGCCTCTTTGTGTGGCTAGTGTCCCTGAAGCGTCTTAAGTCGAGCAATTCAGTTGGCTTTCTTGGTATATCCGATAACGTTGAGTTTGAATGTGCAGTCAAACTTATTCTTGTTTATCATGCGATATGCGTTAATATAGCGTAACGTTATGTTTGTGCTTATTTGTCTACATTAATGCATGCCGTGTAAAGCCGTTGTGTTTTAAACGTCTCCGGGCGATCAAATAGCTGTTGTGCGGAAAACACATGAGCCCCTAGCTATTCGTGGTGTTATCTGTCTGTGTGTGAAGTGGCTTTGCACGAGTTGCAAGGCATAACGTCAGCGTTAACTTAAACAGCTCGCTGCCAAAACCAAGCGGTGTCCAGACCTTGTGGTCGCAAAATGGCACCAGGCAATGTGTGACAGCCTGTGTGAGTTCATAATTATTTTCGTAAAGTGTGTGTGACCTTGTGCCCACAGCCTTGATGCGCATTTAAGTGCGTCGTTTTTGCAGTATTGTAGTCAGCATCTGCAGTTATGTGTATGACGCTGTGTACGATCTGACATGATTGGCATTTCAGCCAAGTGGCACGATTGAAGCGCGTGTGACCTTAGAGTTGCTTTATCTACCTCTTTGTCCTGACTTCTGTGTGTAATCCATTTGTGGATTCATTGATTTGGATCATACCATCTCGTAGGCTTAATTTTTAATCCACTCATGTTTGCTGTCAGCTCAGGTGTCCGTTTGTTTTCTTTTTATATCTTGATACTACCTGGATTTAGCAATTAGGCTGCTCTTACAAAGCTAGACAAGTGGCACGGAGTCTGGGTGGGTGGATCTTGAGACACCTACGTGGTTGTTTTGTCCTGATATAATTTAAGGAGCCCACATTTCTCGTGGGCACCGGCAGCGCGTCTCTCCTCCTTTCATGTGATATGATTCAGGGACTGTATCTGTTCTTGTCCTCCCTCTGGTACAGTCAGAGGCACAGGCAGTCTTGCTTGCCAAATCACGGGCTGTGCAGAGCTGCACAGCAGTGTCAGAAAAGGATAGCACTGTGCTGTCATCGTGCTGATGTCATTTAGGTCAATGTACATTAGTTGGTTGCATTGACCTTTGATTTTTAGATGTGTTGGGGGTTGGCTCCTCAGCAGTACAGCTGGTGTTTAGAAGGTAGATAAATAGCCTTAGGTGCATTTGCTGTGTGTTTTGTAGGAGTTTCTATCCAGTATGACTGTGGCTGTAGAGGAAGTAAATGCATACAAGATATAATTACCAATAACTCTTTTAGAAATGTGGGTAGCAAATGAATTGCCAATAAATGTTTGTCTTCTTATTTAACTCAACGCATGAACATTTATAGTAGTCAACCAGTAATTTAAAATCTATTTGTCTGGTGACACTGCATGTATGTTGTTGTTTCTGCCAAGCTGCTGAATGAAAAAATTTTAAACAGTGTCCTGCTCAACAGCCTTGTCAATTGCAGTAGCCGATTACCCACTGCTCTATTTTGCATGCTCTAGAGTAAGATGCTCTCTTACTATTGGCAGCGTGACTTGGTGTCACTCTAGCTTGTGCCATAAATGCTGTCAAAAAAACCTCAGTTCATCAGACTCAGTGGGTGATGACTAGTTGAGATGGAGACAGATGGGCGAGAGACATGATGATGACACTGTCTGCTGTCTGGGATCACAGAAAGCCTCATGGAAGTGAGAATTCATACCAGCCCATACTGACTGCCAACTGTCCAGCCTCCTCTCTGCCCAAAAACACCAACTGGCGAGTGGCGCACGATTACTTTTGAAAGAGGAAGATGGTCCAGTTCATTAGAAAAACAAATTTTGCAAGGCTCGTTACAAATTCTGAAGTGTTTGTCAGCTCTCCACCTATTGTCTAGTTTGCAGTTCATGAAATGCTTTTGATTTGATTAGACTGAATTGTTTCAGTTGTGTGGCTCACTAAAATGTGCAAGCCACCCCAATGACAGTGACATTTTTCCTTGAGATATTTAACTCTGTCTTGCCTTTCTTATGGCCCTAACTTCATGTGGGGGGGGGCATTTCATGTACTTTTTGTGTCGTCACCTGGATATTTAAGCATTTCTGTCCAATAGAAACTCAGGACGACAGCAGTATGAATCATTCCTCTCGGTTCAAGGCACTACTTCCCTTACGGGAAACAGATGATGTTTCATTGAGAACTCGGCACCAGTAAACAGAGCATACCTTTTGCTTTCCAAATTCTGGGAGGTACATCTGCAGTGGCAGTTAATGTAGTCTGTGTAATGATGATGTGTCACGCTGTGTCACTGGTTCTTCTGGCATGTGAATCTAGTTTCTTATCAGTGTAAGGGCATGGCATTTTTTGTTTCAGCCTTGTTTGAACATGCATGTCCTGTCAGAGGAAGGTCTGTGTAGATAAGATGTCTTTAGATTTTGAGATATAGCACGCAAATCATAATCTGCAGATGGATTTTGTAAACCTGTGTTTACTGCAGAAGGAAAAGTACTGAGGTGTAAATGAAAAATGCTTCTGTTTAAAGACTCTTGTGCATGTGCAATGCATTTACATTTGTGAGATTTCCATTTAAATTGCGGAGTGTGTCAGATTTGCATTGCCTGTTTGGGAGTTTGAATCGGATGTGTCATCCTTGACACTACCAGCCCTCACCCTGAATGGACCCATAATGGCCTTACTTTCACACTGAGGTGTCTGTAAATGTGTGCGTGTGTGCTTGGGGGGGTATTTAAAATAGGCTAGGAGGAGCTGCCCTGAAATTTCCCTCTTTTCACTTCAATTCACTAATCACTGTACTCTTGACCAGCTTGTAGGACTACTGCCAGAGCTCTGGGTAAAGTCTTTTTAAAGAGACTATTTATAAAACCATTCTTTGTTCCCAGATTACTATGTTATTTTTGTCATCAGTTGAGAGTTCATGTCCTTGCAGTCACATGTATGTACTTATCCTTTAACATGACTATCTTTATCCCATGAACTAATCTGATTTATTTTCCCGTAGAGCTCCAGTATGTCCAAGCGGCGCTCATCGGAGAGGGGGGCTGGAGAGACATCAAGCAGGGCCAGCAAGCTGCAGTGTCCTGGGATATCTGGCAGTAATGCTAAGAGAGCAGGACCCTTCATTCTCGGTAAGGAAGCTACTCCATACTTAGGGGTTTGCTCAACCCCAAAAATTGGGAAACAGTAGTCTGTGTGGCTGCGATTGCATCTAGCTTACAAGTTCTTATGAAGACTTGTAACCTTTACATGTGTGTAGTAATTGGTATGTGTAAGTGCTGGTTGCTGTGTTTCTCTGTATGAATGCACACCTGAGACAAGAATGTGAAGAATTTTGCTCATCCCCTTGACATCAGCCAGAAAGGTCTGTGTCTTTGTGGGAACAGGATTGTTTTCTCCCTCTGGAAAATGTATTTCCCTCCCATACTCTTAGGGTTGTCTGTTTTCATTCTACTCTTCACAATGCAGGGTGCCAAAGAAAACATTACACTTGGGGTGTTAATGAATACATGCACACATAGACTTTAAAAAGTTGCTGCGGAGCACACACTCCGGCATGTAGCTTGCCTTTTGGTCATGCAGCTGTTTTTTTTTTTGTTTGTTTTTTTTATCCTTTCAGGGCCTCGCTTGGGCAACTCACCAGTCCCCAGCATAGTGCAGTGTCTGGCCAGAAAGGACTGTACAGATGACTTCTATCAGCTCAAAGTAAGTTTGGTGGGGTTGGCATGTTTTTTTTTTTTGTTTTGTTTTGTTTTGTTTTTTTCCCCAGTTTGGCTTTGTCACAAATGCAGTCAGTTAAGCATATCACATGCTTCAACAACAGAAAATGAGCATATCTTCAAAACAATGCCACAATATCCCAATAAATATCTAAACATTTGACCTTCCTTTGTTGGTGTTTGTTTTATGGCCCCCTGTTGGTCCCACAAACAAAAACTCAGCCAGACAGTCTGTTTAATGGGGCTACCCAATGTCTGTTTCACAAAGGAAGGCTATAGAAGAGGGGCAACGAAATGAAGAAGGTAGCGCCCCACCCGAAATGTCAACTTTAAAGCTGTCTTTCTGCTGTTTGATCCTGTGTGAGCTTTTGTCTTGTGACTTCTAATGTTTGTTCTATTCTTGTATGTGGTTGCTGCAGATCCTGACGCTGGAGGAGCGAGTGGACTCTGCAGGAGAAACTCAGGAAGAGAGACAGGGGAAGATGCTGCTGCACACAGAGTACTCCCTCCTTTCTCTGTTGCACAACCAGGATGGGGTGGTCCACCACCATGGCCTCTTCCAGGTACACCGAAACCTGCACACAATTAAGTTAATTTCTGTTGATAGGCACATAGTATTTTATCTGTAAAATAATAAAAATTATGGGCAAACAGATTTTGATATAGTGTATGGGATATTACTCAACACTATGTGTGTAACCATTCTGTATAACTGAGACTGATAAATACATCAGCATCACCATGGAGACATTTGTCGCTTTCTATTCAGTTCAGAATATGGCAATACCATGCGAGTAGCAGCATTCTTCTCATCAGCTCAGTAATAGTAGAGATCAACTTTTTACACCAGTCAGCTGGTATCAGTAGAGAAGTAGGAGTACCATTAAAGTCAGATTTATGTGTAGTTGTTTTCAGTCTCATCCATTCACAGTGAGCCTCTCCCTCCCTCACCTGTTTTCAGTCTGCCTCCCCATCTAACTTTGTTATTGTTCCATCAGCCTTTGCTCTCTCTCTCTCTGTTTTCCTTCTTTGTCTCTCTCTCTTTCACATCATGTCTCTTCCACTCTGCTAGTGTTCTCAGAATAGCATCAATGAGCCATGCACTCTGATTCATTTAGGCCTGCAATATTGATTGGATTATTATGGTGCATCTCCACTCTGAGAGAACCAGTTAAAAATGTACACTTTTTTTTCCAGAGGTGCTTACTGTATCTAAAAAGATAAGACGACCTGATACAGAAATCAATAAGAAGTGGTGACTCTGCTAAAACTGGAGCTGGGAAAAGATGAATGACCTTTGTTATTTGTCCTCCACCATGCAGCATAGTGAAGTGTATATATATCTTATTCACAGTGGCTACATGCAGACTGTTGAATGATTGGCTCTAACCCGCCTGGCTCTACAGTATGTCTTCTGAGTTGACTGAGTCAGATTAATGAGCCGGTATATTAGTGGAATCCGTTCAGTTTGGTGTATTCCTGGGTGCCTCATCCGATATTGTTGGAAAGTGCTTGTGATTTACATCTACAACTCCATTCACTTACAAAAGAAGTGCCTTTGTAAAAAGCAACTCTCACACTTCTCTTTGTTGTCATTCCCCAGGATCGAGCCTACGAGATAGTGGAGGACATGGAGGCCAACAAAGTGCGCAAGATGAAGAAGCGTATCTGCCTTGTGCTGGACTGCCTGTGCGCTCATGACTTCAGCGACAAGACTGCAGATCTAATAAACCTTCAGCATTATGTAATCAAGGAGAAACGACTGAGTGAGCGTGAGGCCATTGTCATCTTTTACGATGTGGTGCGAGTGGTGGAGGCCCTTCATAAGGTGAGTCTGGGATAGATTTATCTGAAGTCATACTACCCAGTGAATCATGAGTGTGCAGATATATTTTCATCAGTGAGGAAAGTTTAGATACTATGTTTTTGTCAACTATAGGAGAAATTGCTTGGTTATTGTGTGCTAGTTGCACATCCTTTCTGATAACTCATATGCCACTCCCAGAATGGGCATGATATGATCCAACATTTTTCTCTGTTCCCCACCTGCAGAAAAACATTGTACACAGAGACCTCAAGCTGGGAAACATGGTGCTGAACAAACGGTAAGATGAAACTCATTTAGCCTTGTTTGCCTTATCAGTTAGCTGGCCAGAAACCTCTCTCCTTGTATTGGATCATGTCATTTTAGCCTGCCAGTAAGTCATTCCCACTCAGCTCACATGCATGCATGAGAGTCCATAACAGGTCCCAGCACCCTGTATCCAGTGTTCATTTGGCTTTAAACCCAAGCAGGGGTCACATTCTCAGACTGAGAATGAGATCAGTTGCAAGGACCTAAAGCCTTGCTTTCTTGTGTGTGACTCAGGGTCTGTGTGTGTGGTGAGTAAAGGCCCAAGGTTGGATTTTTTTTGTTTTGGAAGGAGAGGGTTAACTGGACTCCAGTGGAAAAGAGAGTAAAAAATACTGCTGCTTTGTTCTTGGTGGGAGAGTGTTTAGGGTCTGGAGTGCATGAGCAGTGCTACAAAGCACACAGGATCATGGCAAGTGCACCTCAGATCACAGAGAGCTGCAGTTCAAATAGGCACTGCAGAGTGGAAAACTACTCATCTGTAAGGCTCTCTCCAAACACCATATCAACTGAGTGTATGACAGAGATGGTGTGTGTGCATTCAAGGAAGGAAAGCCACCCTTTCTTACACTAACTGCTCTCTGCTTTTTAATATGAATCTGTCCAACTTTCCAGATTTTGCATTGATCATATTAAAGGTTGCTCCAGAACAGTAGAGGTCTGCATTGGGGTGTACATGTTGGCCATATTGTAATTATTTAGGTAACAACGAACTGTGCTTAAAAAAAAAAGTTCCATGGCTCGTATAAAGTGGAGCAGAGGGGTTATATTTTGTAGTGTCCACAAGAACTGCCTGATGCCATGAGAAAAAATTTCTAACTTGCTATAACCAGAAGCCTTTCTCCTTAAGATACTTTTTCTCAGTTTCTCAAGATACATTCGCCATTGAAATGTGATATTTTTTTCTTGCTATTACAGCATACTGTATTTTTTCCCCTTATAACAACATAGGCATGTTCTCATAATAACGTGAGCCCTGCACAGCCTGGAGTGAGTGCAGTGCACACACTCACTTTGAGCAGTAGCCTACCTTAGCTCATTCAGTTCAGCAG